GTTAAAATACTGTATATGTTTATTAAATAAAGTCTAATGTTACAACTAATCATGGATCCCTTTAACAGTAAAAGTGGGCGGAGTTAAGAACCCGTCCTCGGACCTCCTGAAGGTTGGAAACATGAGTGATGAAATCATGGATCTGGTTCTTCTGGTCTGCAGGACTCTGACCTCTGTGTCTCTCAGAACCAAACGGCTCTGGGTCCAGAAGAGCTGATGGAAAGTGTGAAAGTGGGGCAGCGGTCCAATCASCAGCCTGGATTTAATCAGACAAACTCTGGACTCTGTGCAGCTGTAATGAGTCACCCGGCTCGCTGTCGCCACCAGAGCGAGAGCTGAAAACCTGTTTAAAGACTTGGTTCCATCTGGTTCTGGTACCGTTTCGGCTCGCACTCTTTTGTTTATTCATCTGCAGTGTAGCAACCAACCTGCTGAGGTCTGTTTGGATAAATCTATAATAAACAACTTTTTAAAAAAGAAAAATCTGGGGGGTTTTTTGTGTCGTTTCTGTTTGATTTTTCAGTTTTTTAGTTTAATTAGAGGATTTTAAAACCTTCTAACTGAGCAGCAGCTCTGTTCCACCATCAGGGCTCYGAGTTTTTTTCACTGCAGGGGCTGAAAAGTCTTAACGCAGCCCAATTAATGYGGCGCTCAGCGTGAGCTCGTGATTTAAGATTTAACCGATGGAGCCGAGTCATGGCCGCTCCGACCCGCAGATCCAAAAGACCGGCATGTAAACAGAGTTTATTATCAGGCAGCAGCTGTGTGAGGGGCCTGTTTGTTTCTATCAACCTTTGCTTTGATATTCCTGATTGTTTGTCCATTTAGGTGCGGTGTGCGTGTTCACCTCTGCTCTGCTGCCGGTTAACGATACCACCCAGAGTCCAGCGGCGGTCCAGCCTCTTCAGGTGAGCCTTTCGTCTTTTAGTTACTGATGAGGAGCGGGAGCAACCGAAAGACAAAAACATCAAAAACATAAACGATGTTAGTCTGAGAAGCTGGGATCAGTAGAGTTATGAAGAGGAGAACGTGAAGGGTTAATCTGTCAGATGATGGGTCTGTCATCTAAACTTCTCACTGTTTGCTGAACTTTTAACTTTTTTCATTAGTGCCGTGTGATGAGGAAGCAGTTCTGAAGTGATTAGTCTCCGTCTCCTCGGAGGACACGCAGAGCAAACACACTGAAGTGACTGAAATTTCAAGATCCTGAGGACAAAACCCCTCCTTCTGCTTAGCAATCTGAGGGCTAGTTGCCTTTTTTATACATATGCCTGCAGCTAATCCAGACACGCCCACCACGCCTGATATTCTTACTCTGTTTCTCAGGGGCACCTGTTTACAAGTTTTTGCTCTGAAGATGTGGTGTGTTGCAAAGAACATAACTGGATGCCACTGCCTGTTCAGAGCTACAGTAAAAAGTTGTAAATATAGTATCTGATTCAAGTAATATGTGTTTAGTAAGGTTTTGTCTTTTTGTTTTCAATGAATATATCAAATCAGTCAGAATTGACTAGGAGCACAAAAGTTATTTTGTGGGACAGTTTAGAAAATTTACAAATACCAAAGACATACATGTCAACAAATCATCCTACAGGCTCTGACATGTTAGATAAATTTGAAAATGAGGTTTTGAAGAAATCCGTAACATTGCTCTATACGTCCGTATACCTGCAAAATGACGTAAAATCSTTRTAACTTACAGACAATCTGTACAAGTTGACATGTTTGMAAARGGGGGATTTGTAGGAGCAYAGTTTTGGGCCAAAGGATATGTAGGTGAGCTGTGATTAGGGTTAGCTGTGGCTCTAGGTGTGACTGACTCTTTAGCATTTTAATAGACACAATGTGGCTCACAGCARGGGAGCGGGGGATGTAGAGGCCAAGGTCTCCTGYGCAAAAAAGSGCAGCCTTAGTCAAACTAGTGTTAACGAGACGAAGGACAGACGGAGACAAAACTCCGCTTCTGTTTTTCCTCCAACCACCATAATCTAATTCCTTCTCTGTCGCTCAGCATCTGTTCCTCTGCCTCTATCAGTCCTGATACTCAGCATCCATTCCTCTTCTCCTCTTCCTGTCCTCCTCTCTGCCCGACCTCCCGACCCACCCGGCACCACCCTCCTCCCCCTCGACCTCCTAATTGAAACATCAGCCGTGGCACAAAGAGGAAATGTTATTTGGAGGTAATTTGGCCTGTCGGTTCCTCTCCAGCGGGTCGGGCTGTCAGCAAAATTAGGTTACAGACCGTGTGTAGATATCAGGATGTAGGAGAGGACGAGCAATGAGAAGTGACGATGTGGGGAAACACGGAGACATGGGTTTATAGCAACAGAACCGGGACTGAAACAAATGTTTTCATTAAAAAAATAAAATGGTGTTTCTTCAGGTTGGGTCATAAACCTGCAGTTTAAACTTTAAATGACTAAAATCCACTTTTTTACACATGAAATATACTTAAAGTGATTTGATTAAACTCTGACCCTCTGTGCTTATCTGTTGTGAAGTAATTCAGACCTGTTTCAGCTCCATCCAATCACAACCACATGTCTAAAAACTGAGAGAACTGACAGGTCTGAACATCCTCAGAGTTCAAACAGGTTCCTGTCYCATATGATCCGWCTCAACTGGTTTTCTTTTCTAGATTCAGGTTCTGGCAAAGGAATCCAAACTGGGAAGACACCCCAGGAGAGACCAAAGACACTCTGCAGAGACTGTGTCGCAGCTGGTCTGGGGACACCTTGGAGTCCTCCCAGATAATCTGGAGGAGGTGGGTGTAACACAGAGGTCTGGACCTGTCTGATCCACCTGCTGCCCACAAGACCTGACCCTGGAACAGGATGGATGGATGGATGGATGAACAGATGGATGGATGAACACATGGATGGATGGATGAACAGATGGATGGATGAACGGATGGATGGATGGATGGATGAACAGATGGATGGATGGATGGATAGAGGCTGTAGAAATTAATGGAAGTCAATGGAATGTCCCCATATAGATAGCTGGACACAGGTGTGTGTGTGTGTGTGTGTGTGTGT